CATGTTTATAATAGGGTCAGCAGCAAACATTTTATAATGGGTGGCTTTATTTACTTCATTTTCATTCTCTTAGTCTTTTCCTGTTTTCCTTTTCCTTTTTGAAGCTGTTAATCCCACCCCCACGTGCAACTTAATCCAACATCATTGTTCTTCAATCCAACCTACTGCGAATGTCCACTGTACAGATACTTCTCTAGGTGATATGGGAAATGCACACATATAATTTGGAATATGGCCCTTGAAAATGTCGGGAATGGCATTAATAGGTCATTTTTTGTGATAAGCTATTCTAAATGTAGAGATGAACAGCAGATTCTGATATTTAGAGTCCAGTTCAGACATCCAGTTGTCTTACAGTTTCACCAGTTGAATTCTAACTAGAACAGGATTGCACAGAAGTGTCAACAGATACCTCCATGCAGAATCTATGTACATGGGTTTTAAGTAGCATGTAGCAATCACTCAAAATCCAACCTAGAAGAAATGAGTTGCTATAGTAGGTGGATGGATCAATCTTACTGTTCATTTCCTAGATGAATAATTATTAATTCACATAAATTATTTGCAGTAGAAACTCTTCTAAATTTGGATTTGGATGCTCTACTGAGTTCTTTAGGATCTCCTTTTTGACAATGTTCTTGTTCTGACTATTATTGTTGATTCATTTTAAAACAGGGTGGACAGCCTTTTGAAGAATTTTAGTGGTCTAAAAGAGCAAGAGAAACAGCTTAGATCTTTGAAATCACAAGTAAGAATTTCTTTTTATGCTTCAGTTGCACATTTTTATTTGTTCATACATACATTTCCAAGACCAAGAAGTTCAGAAATCACGATAGGGTTTCATGCATCAATCAATTTTTGTTTTTGTTTGGGGCATGCTTAGGTGAGGTGGATAAACAATAGATTATGGTCTTCTCTAGAAGGATACTTCTAGATAATAGAAGTAATAAATATACCTTCAAAATATGTTACATTCAAATAGCACCTTGGATTCTAAACCTAATAAGCAGTTCATAGATTCAAAGGTCTCAAATGGACAAAAGAGCTATGAAGAAATTACTGTACATGCAATTACTTAGAAGTAAGCCTACCCAGAAGTAAAACTACTGAAGTAAATGGGTAAAGGGTTTCAAAGTTCAGCCTACGATCACATTCTGATTCTATGACTGTATCACAAAGCAAAACCACTATGCCATCAGCTTTGATTTCACAGAACTTTGCTATAATTAGTAGTATAATTGTAGTACGTCTTGAATAGTAATGATATCCAAATAATTTGGCAGATACTTTAGTGAAAAACATTTTATTTTTCAGCAGGCCAACCTCAAACTACACACACGTGAGTAATGTGCTAATAAAGATTGGGTGGAGTTGGGGAGGAATGCAAAACAAAGTAAAAAAAAAACCTAAAATCCATTAAAAACAGTCTAATACACAATACATACCAGAATTGTTGTAGAAGCGTACATAACTGTGCTGAGTACAATAATGGCTATGACTTCATACATTGGATCCAGTCATAATGAAGTTTTTTTTGGCTTGGGCTGGGTTTTGTGAATCCAGCCATTTTAATTAATGCTTAACAATTGTGCCAACAATTGTGCCAATAAAACAATGCTTTATTCAATTAACTACGAGAAACAAGCCATAGCCTTTAGGAATGTGTAAACCTTATTTTCTTAATCATTATTTTCCAAAGAAAGACACAATGATGCAATGGTTAAGAATCTTTGCCACTGCTTTTCACTGGCTAGCTAGTCACAGCTATCCCTCTGCATTCCGGCTTAACCTCCTATGTGAAAATATGAGGAAAATGATGGCTTGGTACATAAGAAACAAAGTCACCTCCCGATGCCAGGCTCTTTTTGCTACATACTAAGTATCGACTGCCCTTCAAAAACACGTTTTCAGACTGAAACGATTTCAACATTTTTAGTTTATCTGAAAGTAGCAGTCAGCCCTTCAAGATAGACTAGGAAACCAAAGTCATGAATGCAGGTATTACTTTCATAAGGTGTTACAGTAGTAACAGATTCTTGCAAGTCTGAATGTGCTTCTTCCCTCTATCCCTTTGTGTGAACTAGGGAACAGCTTGTCTGAGACACTTTCTCAGGTTACAGTTCTGCCTGGACTCAGGTTTTAGTTGACAGTTATCTTGATTGCACCTCATCCTCTGGTTCCCTATAGTTATTCTTTCTGCCTAGGAATGTACAGCCTAATTTAGGATCTACTTAGGTTCAGCAAGTCTGCTTCTCTCTATGCTCATTTCCTTTCATTTTGGAAGTGTAGTGGTTAGACACTAGACAAGAAAGTGAGACTGTGAGTTTTAGTCTCTGAATATGAGGTCAGCTGGTGACCTTGGACCAGTCACACTTTCAGCCCTAAGGAAAAGGCAAACCACTCCTGAAAATCTTGCCAAGAAATCTTACCAGGAGTCAAAATTAACCTGAAAGTACCAAGAAACAAGCAGCCCCTCTCCCTTTGGAATAGTCTTGTGGCATCTTCAAACATACCTATTTCTTATAGCTATGTTTCTCTGCACTAAAATGAATATGTTATATAATTATTAACCTTGATAGCACAATACTCCTTCAGCAGGCACAGGAGAGGTATTTGAATATCAAATACTTGGGATATTAAAGAATTGCATATAGGTGGGGGGAAAATACCCCCCACACAAAACAGCACAAATTAGCCACATAACTGGTTAATTTTAACACCTGCTAATGAGAACAAAGCCTCACTTACCCAACGAAGAGCATTAAGTTAGCATTGCCCAAGAACTCCCACATTTTGGGGATTAGAGCTTCTTTTGAATATGGGAGATGTCATACCTGTTTCTCATTTAAGCCAGGTAAAAATAAACAAAACAACTTGATAATATATGTGAAAAGTAAGCACAAATGGACTTTCTTTCAAAAAATAATAAACATGTACAGTATAAAAATGGAAGTGTTTTCAATTTCTAGGCATGAAGTAGTGGAATTTGGTCCATAACTCGCCAGATTAATCTTTAAAGATTTCAGGTGTATTATTTTCCCATTCTTGAACATCTCTACTGAAATACATTGAAAATATGTAAGGTGTTTAACAAAGACAAGCTACCCTTGATAATTAGCATTACAAGAAGTAACTTGTTCAGATCTCACTATAGCTGCTCATTCTTTATATAACCAATATTTTCATTTAAATTTTCATGTTTCATAAATGCAGGCACTGATCAAATGGTTGAACCAGAAAATGAAGACGGGGTAGATACCAGTTTGATGATGTGATGTATATCGATGATTGTAAAAGATCACTTCTCCATATAATTTTGTCAATTCAAATACCTAATGGATATTTTCTTTTAATGTCAGAGTGCCACCGTGTCATAACTACATAATGCCTTCCCTTTACATTATGTCCAATGTGTTTCCTGTAAATTATCTACTGAAATCTCAAAAATATTGCCTACTTTTTATTCCAATCTTCACCATTAAAATAAATGTTATGCTGTGACTCTGTAAATTCATTTAGACCAAAGCTTTCAATATTTTAACCAAGGAACAATTACATACCTTGAGCTTTACAATTATCCTTCCTTGATATAGTTGTACACAGTATTCATTGATCTGCTTCCCTCATATTGTGCCTTTCCTCTTGAAGTTAATTATATATTACTAGTGTAGTTAGTTTCCAATCTTATTTTCCACTAATCATGAATTAACAGTACATTACCTTTAATTCTTTTGTCATTGTAGTACAAAATAGTTTCAATCCAAATATTTAATAGGTCTTTTCTGTATAAAATAATTAGACTGCGTTAGGCATTGTAATATATAGGTAGTCCCAATTTAGCAGTTGCCCCAGACAGCGACCGCAGTTAAAACCGTGATGAAAAAATAACTTTGTGACCAATGGTCGCATTTATGATCTTTCAGGACTTTAAAGCAAAAGAAAGATAAAGTAAGATAATAAGCATTGCTGAAATTTTGCTTAGTGATTGCTTTGTTAATGATTGAGTTACCATTTCCAATTGTGATAGCTAAATAAGCATTACCTATAAACAGTAATAAAACTTATTTTTTTTCCAACCGGTGCATTTATTCATGACCTAACATGCCAAGGTGAGAGTAATGCTGGGGTAGCTGTACAAGAGAACTCTAGCTGAATGAGATGGCTTCCTTAAATGTGAAAGTGTGACAAGTAGAAAAGGGCTAATGGGTAAAAAGGGGTGCCCTAAGAATAGAGAGAAAACTAGTTTTTGACAAAAACGGGTAGCTGCTAACATGCAGGTACAGAATTTTCAACCTAATTAAGCAGTTGTTCCCAATTTTAATTGACACCAAAAATATCAAATGGATATTCTGCTAGAAATACTATTTTAAGCTCCCTTATTCTTACATAAACAGTTTGGTCGACACAAATCCATGTACTTTAGAGTTTAGAAGAAGCTTTCAAGTATGGAGGGGAAAAGATCTTTTACTTTTCAAGGAAGTTGTGGCAATTCAACAGTCTGAACCATCAAGTCTAAGTATGGCTTGTTTGGTTTATTTTAATTTTAGAAAGCATCTCTTCCAATTCCTTAACACTTTTTCTATGATCTTAACATACTGGTATGTTTACATATTCTCATCTCTAGCCGAACAACATATGAGTTGTTATATTTCATGCTTTTATTTTAATTCATACTGTGGAATATTGGTTAAACCTTTGCCTCAGCTACAATAAACTGATAAATCTTGTACCTCATCCACAAGGTATGTTTTGTCAAGTATGAATTGGTTGAGATAACAGTACAGTGTACTGTCAAAACATTTTGGTATGAATAGCTGAGCCTCCCTTCATAAACAGAAACTCCACATATTGTTGGACTATCTCAAAGTAAAATGTCTTATATTTATTGCAAAACACAGCGGGATTTTGTCGGAAAGGACAAAGTTACAAGGATTCTTAGTCACAGCAACAAGCATGATAAGGAAAACAATTGCCCAAATTAATGCAAATGATGAAGATAATATTTTGAATAAGCTATCACTGGAAAAAGACAAATACAATGTTTCTGGCTTTTAGGGTTCTTCTTCTTCATCATGGTTAGCTTTGGGTCGGAAATATTTCCTACTCCTTTTCTTGCTACCATGAAACCCTATGGTTGTTGTCACATTCTCTTCAGGCTCCTCGGGAGAATCTGTGTTGGCTCTTTGAGCACCTTGTTCTTCCAATTTCAGCAGCCCCCAATCTTCCTTTTCTCTTTCTTTGCTTTCTGAGGGATCTAGTATAACTACATCACCTTTATTCTGGGCATCCAAGTTACCCAGAGGCCTTCCACTGGTCTCTTGATTTGCATTAATGTTGGCTTCCAACTTTTCCTCTGTTGAAGCTCCTCTTTTTTTCCCTGATCTGTCTAAGCCTGTCTTTACTGGTTTGCTAAAGACAATTCTTCCTGCACCAGAGCTAGAAGCATCCTGGTTGAAAGATGGTACATAATTTTCAGGATGTGCTGAGCTTTGTTCCTTCCTACCCTTGTTCAAGCCACTAAAGAACTCCATAGCAATTGATCTGTTGGTATCATCATTACATTCTGCAACATTCTCCAAACTGTATTTGGTCCAGCGTTCTGGATGGGCCACATAATCAGGTACTGGTGGGGAACTTTTATAGGACTGAATTGGCTCACGTTTTCTTCCAAAGCTTTCCGCAGGCGTCTTGTTTGAAATGCTGAGTGGTGGCAGAGGGCGTTTAAACCTTCTATCAATGACATTGTCTTCACCTGTCAAAGGCACTGCCTGCTTGGCTGCTCCTTCCAGACAATCAAAAATGTTCTGGCTGCGCTGTGAAAAGCTCGAGCTCATGCCTTTCAAATGAAACGGCTGAACAACTGATTTTTTGCTGCTGTGCAAAGAGTCCCCACTCTTATTTGATTCACAATCCACATCATCTGATGGAAGTGGCTCCTCAGGGGACACAACATCAACTTCAGCACTGCCTGCAAACTCAAAATCTTCTGAATCTGAGTCACTCAGGGAAACTGTATCTGATGGAAGGATGCCTTCGTAATCTGTGCCTTCATCAGTCACAATACCCACAAAGGGTTCGCCTGCACCTTCATCTCCCATTCTTGATGATCACTTGTTTATACTGCCTTGATTTGGGTCTTTCTGCAGCCAAATACCTTTTTCAGCTGTTTCTCAGAGAATGTTTAACACCACCTAGAACAAAAAGGGAAAGATACATGCAAATATGTAAGGACACATTATTGATATCTGCTGCTTCATGAGAGATTTCAAGATCAAAAGTACCAAAACCTCAAAACAAAAAGAGAGAGAAAAAAAATTAATAGATTAATCTAATCTATTATCTCAGCTGGGATCACTTTTGTTTTTATAAACAATTTTGACATTGTATAAATAGATTCTAAGTAGATTCTACAAGATTTCTCGTGATATGTGATTTTTCCCTCCATTTGCTTTTAAATAAATCTATAATTCTGTAACTTATCGCGCTATTATGATTTTACAAGAGTATACATTCTAACCTATTTCTGCTGTGCTTTCCAGATTGAATGCCATTAGCGCATCTCCTTTTACAAGTACAAACATCTAATAATCCTATTTGTAGAGAAACTCTCAACTGGTCAATTTTTAAGCGCTTTAGATTTTTAACCCAGGGAATAGAACTTCATTTTAATTAAGATTTCATTAAGAATAGTGGGTAATCTATCAGTATCAACCTACCAAGAACTTATATTAAAGATCAGCCATCTTAAATGAAAGCAAAGTTCTTGCTTATAAGAAATAAAATTAAAATACAAGCTGAGGAAATCTATGATCTACTGCAGAATACCACTCAAAATTGTGAAAATTAAAAACTTAGTAGTATTAAATAATCTATAACCATCACATTTTACTTTTTATTTAAGAACAGAGATAATATTTAGCATAAACTAGTGGCTTCTTTAAATTATGTGTTCCTTTTGTGTATTTCTAACATAATATCTTTGCGCTGATATGCAACTATTACCATTTAGAAAGACTGTGTAAAAATCTGGAACGTAAAGCAACTTCATTTTGTTTTGACAATTCATCCAAAATAATTATTTGGTGCACTGAATTAATTACAATTCTGTAATACTTTTGTGTGTAGATATACATGAGGTTTGTTGGCACAACTTCATACTATTTCTGAAGTCTGAAGACCTTTTTAGGTACTTAAGCATGTTTAGTAGCCCAACAGTATTAGTGTTCTTATTTAGTAACAGATTCCCCACCATACGAGAACTGTAATTGACAAGAGTTGTCCAACAAAGTACTTTATGGTGATGGTAAACAGGCATGGAAGAACCTACTAGCCACTCACCATCTGGAGTATGAACCAGTATTCCATCCTCTGGGTCAGTAAAAGCCACCAAGGTTCTGAGATCCTGTACCCTGGCAGTAAGAGGTTGGACATATCATCAGCGCAATCAAAAATGTGGAGTTGCAATTTTCTAGTATATCAATAGTACTTGTTACTTTAATAAGTGTACCCTCTAGCTTTGCAGTGTTATCAACTACAAATAATTAATTTAAAATTGGAAAGCAAAGATATTTGTTTTATTTATTAATCTAATTTATCTCTAGTAGAATTTTGGGGCAACATATTATTGCACACCAGGCAGACAGAATTACTATACCTCAGTGTTGGGACTTACACACCAGTGGATCTGTAGGACTGTTTAAACTATCACTAACAACCAAATGCTAATGCAATACAATTAAATCACCAAGCATAAGAATATAATTGGATGAGATCAGAAAAAGAATCAAACTCAAGTTAAGTTGTTTTTCAAGGACTAAGAAATGTAGATTAAAGAAATGCACATTACAGGTTGTGCATATTTTAGGGTTTGGGGTTTTTTTTTTTGTTTCTCTCTCTGATCTATTCACCTCCTCCCCCCTGGTTGGGCAGTAAAGAATAAAATTGTTCCAGAGAGAAAAGACTCACAGGATGTTTGCAGCAATCTGATTGCAACATAATTCAGACATAATGGCTTTTCTGTCACTGAAGTCCCCATCAAAATCTTCCATAGTAGTCTTGATCCTTGCTATCTCAACTGTGGGAAAGCCAAAGAGCACATTACCTTTTCCTTCCCCATCAAGCTTATGCTATTGAAGTAAGTTAAGTTTCATTTATTTTATTTGTATCCTGGTTGTATTATTTTTACAAATAACTCAATGCAGTAAACATATCCAACACCTTTCCTCCTTCTATTTTCCCCACAAGAACTCTGTGGGGGTAGATTGGGCTGAGAGAAGGTGAAGGGCCCAGTCACCCAGCTTTCCATGGCTAAGGCAGGCAGAACTAGACCCCAACAGTCCCCCTACTTTCTAGCCTGATACCTTAACCACTAGACCAAACTGGCTCTGTTCCTTTTTTTAAAGCTCTTCTTTTAAGATAGACTTAACAAATATATTTATCTGATGGGCCTGAAATCAAGACTGTAACCTGTCCACATCTTTCTTGTGGTTTTGGATAGGTAAGAGGAAGTGAGAAAACATTAATTGGGGGAAAGCACTCCTTTCTTACCAAGGAATGCTTAATTCTTTAACTTTTTTGGAGGCCATGCAGTTCATAAATTAGTTACCCTCTACTACAGAGATATTAATGTACATATCTGAAAGAAAGCAGGCTGGCTTGCCAGATATGACTGTGCACTTGATAATCAATACATCAATCACACTAAGAATTATGTTTAAAAAAACAACTGATAATGGAAAAATGGCACTTCTCCTATTTTAAAAGGGGAAAAACAAAGAGAAAAATATCAAATAAAAAGCAAACTATTGCCGTTATGCAATAGTTTTTATGTGAACACTGCGAACACATAATTATGTTACCATACCTCTGTTAAGACAATTTGGAGACTTCAACGTGCAAAGCACGGTTATAATGATTTCCTAGAGAGAAGGGATGTTTCTTCTCAGATAAATTATTGCCTCTCACCTTTGTGAACCTAATGATATAACCCCAAGCAGGTAATCTGCAAGAACTTTCAGTCTCGAGTCTTTTTTTTAAAAAAAAATTGAATCCAAAAGGGAAAAAAAAAATCTTGAATTCACCTGCTTCGAAAAATCCACTGTCCCAAGAGACAGGACGAATATAATATTAAAATCACTTTCATGTAGTAAAATGAAGGGTCAGCCGCGGGCTTAAAAATAGTTTAGACCCACAACGTAAGACGGCAGGGCTATTAAAAACCGGGAGATATCGCGGCCGGCTGCTTGGGGAACGTTCTCAAGCCTGATCCAGCCCCACAGATCTTCCTCTCGTATATCCTTCTGTCCACACACGCCCCGCTTATCTCCCAGATCTCCGGGACCAACGGCCGCTTCCGCAGCTGCCCTTCCAAGACACTGCGCGGAACTCCTCACCTGCAAGGGCCCGTTTCTCCCACCTGCGCGCGCAGCCCCCGTCGCTCGGTTCCGGATTCGGCGCGCCGTCCCCGCCGTCACTTTCCCGTTGCTTGATGGGATGAGAAGTTTTCTCTCTCCGAAAAAGCCTGTGGGAGCTTACGCCTCCATCGAAGCATTTGAACGACCTGTCCCAGAAGTCATTTCGCAACTGAACTAAAACCCGACAAAAGTTCTTCCTTCGGTTCCGCCCCCCCCAATGTCTTTTGGGATTTGTAGTATTATTATTAATACTACAATATTAATACTATTATTAATACTACAGTACTATTGCCGGAGCCAGAGTATCCGACTACAGTTAACGGTGCAGAGAAAACTGCAACAGCTTTTGGGTGCTTTGTACAGCCTTGCTATGATAAATGCAGTTTACTAAGTTTATTTTATTTCCTTTTATGCTAGAGTTCGGAGAGTTAATTTAGATTTAGGTTTGCAAAAACGTTTTTTTTGATGACTGCTTCCATTCGTCCAGAAATTTAGCAGTGCATTTCATCAGCCAGGGACTCAAGATCTGTCGGGATCAAAACTGGCACTGGGAGACCCACATTTAAGTCCATCTATGGAAACTCAACGGTAGTTTTGCAAAGGTCATTCTTGGATACAGCAGATAGTAACACCTTGTTGATCTGGAAGAGACAAGTCGAAATGACCTCAATAATTGATCAGATTTCAGGGCTGCAGACTAGACTGTGAAGATGAAAAACCATCCTGAAGAAGATTTTTTCCCACTAAACTGTGAAAAGTTCTTAAGATCGAAAAGCTGGCGGTCTTCAGGTTATCCTCATAAAGACATTAATACAAACTAGAAGTGAAAACAATAATAAAAAGATACAAGGAAAAATATATAGAAACAACCCCCTACAGAAAAGCCTAAACCCTCATGGGCAACCCCATGTTTTCTTCACTTCCTCTTTACTAATAAGTACTTCATCTCATAATCAGCAAATCAAGAAAGTCACATCTTAATCCTGTTATCAGCAAAAGGTCCAAACAGAATGCTAGGATTTTAATATTAATTAGCATATATAAAACTCAGCATTCCAATCACAACTCTTTAACTGTAACAAAATCTCTCTTAAAAGGAATAAAATGGTCTCAATATCCTAATATAAACAATAGAAAACCAAAGTGTACATAACAAAAACCATTTCTCCTTAACAAAAATAAACCCCAATACATATTTTTCCCAATTCAAATATCAACAGTTCTAAAAAAAATTCCCAATCCAATTTATCCAGTTCAAATTTTAATTACATCTCTGCTCTAAACTATAAACATCCACATTTTACAAATACCAATATGCTAATATAAATGAATTATTATAATTTAACTTAAAGAATAATTTATCTGTAAAAAAGTTTTCTAAAATTCCTTACTTTAATAAAAAAAGAAACAGTTAACATAAATATTTTTTTCTTCCATACAAAACTATCTTTTTCTGTAATCCATTCAGGTGGTTGTTGATACTTGTTACAGCTTTCTTTAGCACTTTAAGCAGTCCCTTGTAAATCCAACAAAAGGAAGTTATTGAAATTGTTCTCTGGGATTATAATTTTTAATTTCTTCTTAATTTTTAAAACCACAGTCAGTTTTCTCTTTATATCTGGTGACAAATTTTTATTCAGAGTCTCCTTCATACTTTTGTAGGGTAAATTTTGCTGCATATATTGTTCTGTAACACCATCGGGGAATAAACTGTTCTCAAGAAGACACAATAATTGAATTAAATTCATGAAGCAGGTCCCTGTTCCTCAAAGATGCCTCAAAATGCCATTATAGATTATTTGTCTTGTTACATCTCCAATCTCAAAAACATTTTTTCGTTCTCGCAAGCAAGCGTACATTTACCTTTAAAAAATAGTTTCAAAGTTTTAATATTCAAAGTCCAAAGCTCAGTGTTTTCTGACCCTATAAAACTTTGAGGCCAAAACCTTGCCTTGCTTTTTGCTGTTCATTTTGAGTTTTAAAAGATTATAAAAATAAATTTTCAAATAACTTTTACTGAGGATTGACGGCACTCACCCGATATTTCCAACGTTGTCATTTTGCGGGTGTCTAACTCAGGGGTGGGATTCTACCAGTTTGCCCCTATTCGCTAGAACCAGTTGTTAACATTCTAAGCAGTTCAGAGAACTGGTTATTAGAAGAAATTACTGGCCTACTCCTATAAGGAAGGCAGGAAGGAAACATTCTGGTGTTGCTTACAGAAACTGCCTCTCCGTTAACCCTTATTACATTTTTGGCAGGACTAGACTTCCTGTCTCAGGAACTTCTCTGGAGTTTTTTTCCCCTTCTTTGCTGGTACTTTGCTTGTGTGGAGTGACCATTCAAAGTTACAATGGCACTGAAAAAAGTGACTTATGACTGTTGCAGCATCCCCACAGTCATGAGGCCAGGCGAGGAGATGCGTGCCTCAATGTGAGTGATATTGAGTTGGCCACGGCCAGCCAGTCACATGACTACCAAGCCACATCCATCCAGTCACATGATCACCAAGCCACACCCACCAACTAAGCCACACCCACAGAACCGGTTGTTAAAAAATTTAAATCCCACCCCAGTCTAACTTCATTGAAGCCATTAATAGGCAATTTCTCAAAATAGTTAGCAAGAGAAGTGCAGAAACTTACTACCCTTTAAAGAGCTCTATTTGCAGCTGGAGTAAATATGGTGAATCCATATCCCTCCTGTGTCCCTGTGTCCCAATTACCCTCCACCAGGAATCGCTGACTTATGGTCCATTTATGAGGAAAAGGAGCAACTGTAAGAAATAGTTCGGGTGATTTCACGTCTCTGTTTGATCCAGAGAGGATTGTTAGTACTGCTAGTGTCAACTCTGCTTTTCTTCCAGTCTGCCATTTCCTTCTTGAAGTCCTTCCTCAGACTATGTGTCTTGAAGATTAAGTTGTACAATTGAGATTGCAAACAATTGATCAGTTTGTCTTAAAAATTGATTTTTTTTTCATTATCTCTTATATCATTAGCTTTTCTATAACTGGCATCACTATTTCAATCTATATGTTGTTTGATGGTTGTTTGTAAGATGAGCTATTTTTCATATTCATTCAGTAGCAACAGTGGAAAGTAATCACCTGGGGGTTTTTTGGGAAAAAAAATTCAGTGGAAATCTTTAAAGGTTTTTCCAGAGGATCCAGTCCTCAGTCATTTGGTACATTTTCTCATTCACAAAATACCAAAAATAAAACTAAAAATCAAATTTCACTGCCATTGAAATGGAGCTACATACTGATAGTAGAGCAGAAGTCAGTAACTTGGTTTTTTCTATGGTTTTTTGCACTATACTTGATATTCCTATTGATTAGAGAAAAGAGAAGAGCCTTCTCTGCCAAAGCTCTTGCCCTTTGGAATATCATATCCCCTGTGGTGAGATTGTCTTCCACTCTCCTGACTTTTCATAAGACTCTTAAAACCTGGTTCTGCCAAATGGCTTGGGGTACCAATGGAGGAGTTTTACACTGGAGGTCATTGACTTAGTAAAGGCTAAACATACCTTCCCCCTCCCCATTTATCTGGCTGCATTCTCCACCTTGTATTTTGTCTGCTCTGTCATTTTATATCTAATGATTTTAATGTTTCTTTTAATGTTTCTTATGCCGTAAGCCACCCAGTTTTTGAAACAAGATGGGCAGCAAATAAATTTAATAAATTTATTTCTATTATACAGTATATGCTATTAAAGATACAGGAATGCATGGCAAGGATAGTGTATAAACAATGAGGGATAGGGACTTTAATATTCTTTAAAAAGTTTAGATTCAGAGGCTTCCATATCTAGGCTCAGCAAGTGTAAATTTTTAATTGATCTGAATTTTTAATTTAAAATGGAGGGATGTCCTTTCTTCCATTTTGAAATCAACTACATTATGTTGATTACTCAATGCTATTTCGATGTTGAAGTCACTACCCGAAAAGGCATTTGGTCTTTTGAACTGCTTCCAGGGCAGTTAATTTATTTGGATAACTTCATTAAGCAAAGCCTTGTTTGGGTGTTATAATAGTTGAGACCAAGGTATCAACTCTATTCCTTTCTCTAATTTAGCAGTTCAGTAGGACATGAAAATTAATCACACAACATTTTATAATCTTCTTTTTGTTACTTTTGCAATTCTCTTCCTTTTAGGTTCAAGGAAGATCAAGAGTAATTGGGACATATAATTTTGAACAGACCCAATAATACAGAATATTAGCTTTTAGTATTAATGGTAGTATCCAGGGGTGAGGGTGGGGGTTAGCGTAATGGGAAGCCATGTCCTCCAAAATGGCATTGTAATAATGAAAGCAAAGCCAAAGCAGAGCCAAAGTCTCCTCTGCCATAACTACCAGTTGTCTTTCGAAATTCTCAGGTCGTGGTTGTCCCCAAGGTGCTTTTTCCCAAAGGCAACTGGACTTCCTTGTTTTTTTCCTTTGAAAATGTTTCACTTCTTATCCAAGAAGCTTCTTCAGTTGATCCATGATCCAAAGGTTAAGCAAGAATCATCTTAGATCAGCCAAAAGTCAGTTAAGCTGATAGATCTTGAGTGGAAAAAACACCAGAACTATAAAGGATAGGGAAATCAAAGTCTTGAAAGCGTTAGAATCTCAACAAGTCGAAGAACTTGTGGATGGGAAGCATAGTTTCTGTTGGGTACATTATCTCCACTCACCAAATTATTCCCTTTATAGTATAGAACAGAGGGACCACTGGATGCCTTACTCCCCCATCTCTATTCTAGTTATGTACATAAAAGGTTTAAAACTGGAACAATTAGCTATAATATAAATTATTCCCCCTTTTAATACACACTGATCAGCAAACTTTTAATTCACTAGATACATTCTTTGTTCAGACTTTACCCTCACAAAAGGCTTGTGAATTAAATATAATTTGCACTATTGTTTGAAATGTCATTGTTGCTAGTTAATTCTATGAATGGCTGCAAACAACAAGTAATAAATCTGGATTTAAGGGACACTCTGAACTGGGGCATAAAACCAGTTTATGGTACTTGGTAATCAAATGGTGAATAAAGCTGGAGTTCTCTCACTTTAAGTGGGCCACTTACTTGAACAGAACCAAGACTTGAGAATTATATTTAGTGGTAATTGTATGCCAGATAGTATGTATGTACTTGCATGAACAAACAAGCGTAAAATTCCAGTTTTAAAAAGTCCAGTTTAAATTTCTTTTCTTATATTTCAGGTTATTCAGATTTCTGAAGCTGAACAGAAAACTATTCTTCCTTCATATTACCATCATATGTTTCTGCAGTTTCTATCAACTTTGTTCTTGATATCCTTCTGGAGATATTTAACACAACTGGGCTTTCTGACACAGGACATACTGGAGTCATCTTACACAATACCAGGATGAAGCATACTTGAGTTTCAATGTAAATTCAATTTTTACATATATTTTGGGGAATAGGAAGTGGACTGTTTTTAAACAGGAAAAAAGTATATAAAGAGCAAAGTGAAATTGGATTTCATCCAGAATGTGGGTTAGCACACCCATACTAAGCCAAGAGTAAATTTAACAATGTACCATTTTGGCTGCTTAAATTATTTGTTTTAAAAGTTATTTTGAGAGATATTTTAACATTCAATAAATAAACAGGACAACAGTAAATAGATGTGATTTGAGGGCACAAGACTAGCCAAACAATAAGAGTGAGATGGGAAGTGGCAAGATTTGTTCTGCAAGAGAAAAAAAAACTCCATTTGCAGGATCCCGACTCCATGTTTTGCCCTTAGATTTGAAAGAAGGTTTGTTGTTAGTGTTTGTACCTCGCTATAACAACATTCTTCAAATATCTACAATTTACCACACAAGTAAAAGACTGACCACTTTGGAAAAGTACATGCTGCACTTACCCTCTAATTAAACATACAGAATCTGAGCATAGATGGAGTTTTAGGCTTTTCTAAGAAATAAGCAAGATTAAATGGAAATGGCTAACAGCTGTGGTGCCCTTCCTGTATATCTTTTGGCCTGTGTCCCCTTGTTCTTTATTCCCAGGGCTGTCTCTGCTATTGACAGAGAGATGTGATAGTTGAAGTACTCAGGTGTTATGATTGACTGGTTGTTAAAAAAAAAGAGAGTTTCCTAGCACAACACACGCTAGAGAAAATGTTTATTGAAATATTCAAAAGTAAAAAAAAAAGCCAAAGAAGAAAAGTTAACATAGCTTGTGACAGGTTCTCTTATATAAAACAAAACAAAGCATTCAGTTCCATGTTGCCAGCAGCTCAATTTGGCCTCCCAGTATAGTATATTGACCTTCCACAATCTGGTCCCCTCCAGAATAATGGATTTCACTTCTTAGAATCCCCCAAACATTGCAGAGAAGAAAGGATTGAGAAAGTTTACCCTCCTTACATAAGCCGTCTTAAAAGAGCATGTTGACTTTGCACTGGCTTTTAATAAGGCATTTTTTTCTCTATCATAATTTTTCCCTCCCTCCCACCCTTCCTCAAGCATCTTAAAGAATTAAGACTGAGGCATATCCATATTCCAATTTTGCCAATTTACATCATCTGGGACCCATAACCAGGGTGAATTTTCTTAGATCAAACACAAATTCTTGTGAAGATAAAGCTTCAGTTTGTTGAACTTGGCTCCAATTGGCATGAAGCCTTCGTTCTGTCAAAGCCGTTCATCTCAGATTAAAAATGAACATTTTCCATTCTTCCACTTTCCTCCAAACATTAGAGCCGTACTGAGAAAGATTCCCCTCGCTTCTATTCCTTCAATCTCAACATAGGCACTTTTATGGCTTGATTTTTATGGCAGATGGTACCACACATGGGATACTTCATTAGCCAATTTATCAGCCAGTTTTTGAATCTGGAAGGCATCTGTATCTCTTTTGCTAATCCTTCAGCTCTTTGTAGACAGATTAAAGAAACTGGTCCTGTCATTACTGGTACTGAAAAAGGACTTAGGCACATTTACACAAACAGCAGTTCACACAATATGACTCTTCAGACTGCATCATTTCAGACAGCATGCACGTGCGTGCTCTGCTAGACGGAGGGAAGGGAATCTACATACGGGGTGGGGGAACCCCAATGTATCAAGAAAAAGCTCTCCATCATCTGGTTTTCAATATATGAATTTCATTTCTGTAAATCATTTGTCAGCTGCAGCTTGAAGTAATAAGAGCGGCTAACTTGTTTTCCAATGGGATCTTCAGTTTCTCTAGACTAGATTTAATCAATCTGGTATCTTCCAGATGTTTTGGACTGCAACTCCCATCAGACCGAGCACAAAAGCAAAGAATCTTGGGAGTAGAAATTCAAAACAGCTGGAAGGCACTTCTTATCTTCTCTGTTGTTGACTAAGCATTACAAACTGCTTGTTTTGGAAATGTTGTGTACAGTCACGCTGCTCAAGTCAACCAAATTGGCTCAATTGCTACCCAATTTTCTTTTTTTAGAAAAGGAATTTGATTCTGTGAACTTGTGAACACTTTTGCTTTTCTAATCCCAGGAGCAAAAGCAACATACTTGCCTTTTCTTTTTTTTAATAAAAAGTACAAATTAAAAAATCTAGCAGTCTCCACAGTACTTGATTTAGAGAGGTACACATTCAATATATTGCACAAAAAGCATTTTGCTTCTAACAAAAACTTCTAAAATGGCAGATATCTTTTTAAGCATCCCCTTCTCTTTGCCATTTCATCCAAATAGGCAGGTTTTGCCAACAACCTGGAGAAAAACTTCCTTGATTTTCTTTTGGACTATTAACATTTATATTGAGTCAGGACATCCAATCATCATCATCTACACCAGTATTTACCAACCTCAACAACTTTTAAAGCTCAAGCATGCTGGCTGGGGAATTCAGGGAGTTGGAAGTCCACACATCTTAAAAGTTTCTAAGTTTGAAAACACTGGCCTACATACCACACTTTCTATTTAAAAAGTGTCCTTTGCTCAAGGCTAACTTTTTGTCCTAATAATGCACTTAATCCATTTCAGTTGCTAGAGGACAGAGTAATTAATCTTCAAAAGAGAACCCTGGCTGCTTACATATCACCAACTGAACACTGAACAATATTCAATTACGATATAGGAAAAACAAGACAGACTATTTAGTTGTACATTTATACACATTTCTCATGGACACCCAATAAAAGGCTGTGAGTTACACATATCCATTCTGTACTCTGGTGATCCCAATGCACATGCACACGCACAGACAATATATGTATGTAGATAAAATGTACATGCACAAGTGGTACCTAGGATTTGTACATATAGTGTAGTCTACTATATTGGACCATGTAACCCCAAAGCCTTTGAAAACTGGCAGAATCAATTTTGCTTTTCGTGCATGCAATGTTGACATTCAGGGCAGTGTTGCTTTAAGGCTATTTCTAAGGCTAAAAGATGTCTTCCTCACTTCCTGCAAGCATAATCAACAAGACTCTTGAGACATAGTTTCCTAAGGATGCCAGAAACAAAATGTTTTTTGATTTGGGATAGATATTTAAAGAGCCCCTATGGAGGAATTGAATCTGATTGCTGCCTACACCAGAAAGCGAGAACAAGAGGCAGTGTGTGGTGGGACCGAGAGAAATAAATGTCTAATCAACAGAGTCATTTTCTGATCTGTCTTGTGTACCTTGAGATTCTAATTTACAGATTGTTATATTTGCTTTGCCTGACTGAAGGGAAAACTATTTTTTTACTTCAAATAATTTACCTTAAAAAGAAACAAGAATACAGTCAAGGAGGCAATTAAGTCCCCCACCCCCTTTCTTTCAATGGGAAGAGACTAGTATTTTTTACTTTAGAATTGTCTTCCTTTTAGGTAAATGTGGATTGATTCAGTTCACATCCAGCTCCTCTGTTCTAACTACTATTTTAAAGGACACTGAATCTACTGCAGCTGATGTGGTACGGCAGAAGAAACCAAGATTAAAATGATTTCTTCAAGAACAGCATGAAAACAGTGTGGAAGATAAATTTGAGGAACTAAGAAGTGGTAAACAGGATAAAATTATATCTGTATTAGTGAATTCTGTATTTCAAAATCAAAACTATGTATATCGCCATTCTATGGCATAGTGAATATTCCCTGAGTGGGAATTTCCAGATGTATTGGACAACAATTGTCCCAGATGATACAATTTTCAAACATCTGAAAGCTAACAGAAAATACAGTTAGCAGAACTGGGGAAAGAACAAGACAATTTCCAGTTTTGAACTAAGGATGGATAAGTGGAAAAGAATGGTCAGAAATCATAAGCAAATCAAAGACAAGATCATTTTGTAAACTCTCAGCTGGATAGATATGAAAGAGGTATCTATACGGAAACATGATGGATGAGGTTAGGAGTTCTGGAAAACTGCCCAGCTCATAGTTTTCTTGTTCTATTTCTGGTGTGTGGACGAGGAAACGGGGATCTGCAGGGAATGGGACAAACAATGAGGTGCATGTGATGATGCAAAAACCTTGTGATTTGGCTACTTGTGTCTGATGCCAGAACACAAGTATGAAAAGCTTAGGTTTGCTCTGTGACGATGCAATTTTAAAAAATATTTCTTTGTCATAACGATTTGTACAGGTTGCCTACTGGAAAACAGGTTCAAAGTTTTACTTTTGGGGTCATACCCCCATTTATGTATCTTGAGCAACATTATTTAGCTTTATTCAAAGTCTTTTCAATGACACAGAATAGTTGCTTTCTTATAAACCAACAAATTACATTTAATGAACAGGCTTCCAGAAATTATTTAATTGGTTCCCCCCAATAATTATGTTTGGCATTAGAATACTACACATCTATCAAGCAAACCTTAGGCAATATTTGCAGTGGAAGTAATAATGTAAGCAATGTGGGTGTTAAGATATTGAAAGAGTGTATATTCTGTTATTAGACCTACATCTAAAAAAAAAAAGAGAGAGAGAATTATATCAAAATTAAAAACCAGGTTGGGGGCTAACTCTTCCTTTCTGTAAATTAGTATTTTGTGAAGATTTGTGACTTGGATTCTTGCTTTGTCTCCAGAAAACATAATGGACATCAAGGTAATAGATTTATGCAAAAATTGGTTAAAATATTTTTTTAATGAAGGTGGGGTTATTATTATAAAAAATACTGACAAATGTGCATGTTTAGCAACAGAATAGAAAAACAGTTTAATTCTGCTCAGGGACTCTTGTACATTTATGCTCACACATTTAGTCCAAGAATCCAAGAGTTCTTATAATCAAGACAAAAAAGTTGGAACAGGAAGATTTTACTTTATCTCCACCAGAGGACAAAAAAAGCAAAAAACTTTCCACGTTCCTCATAAGGATAAACCCCTTGAAGAATAAATTCTTAAATTCCCCTCTTGATAAAATGGCTGAAGAGGGAGAGAAATGCTATTTTAATAAAAGCCCGGAACCACCAGCAGGATAGCTTTTTTTTTAATAACCCATAAATTGGAGTGTAACTAATTTTGCCACAAATATACAGAAAACTCCCCTTTCCCCCATCCTTTAAAATGAACAAGAAGACTTCCAAGTAAGAATGATATGCTCCGTAGAATAATATCTGAAAAGTTATATACATAATTTTCTTTCTTTCTTTGTTACAAGTGTCTCCTGATCAGGCAGTGGCACTTCGGGTCACACTGGCACCACCACTTTGCACTCTTCTTCCACTTCTGCTCAATAGACAGAACTATTCCTAATGCCACAGCACAGCACCATGCTCAGGATCATCTCAAAGATCTGCAGGCCGAGAAAAAAAGACAAGGACAATGAGACTCCAGCCACATTACGGATAGTCCTCGGCTTGCAACAGTTTGTTTAGTGACCATGCTAAATAATGTGGTTGTGTGACATGGCCTTTATGTCACTTAGCACCAGCAATCCCAGTCTCACTTGCTGTCACAAACTGAAGACTACCATAAAGGAAACCTCTTCTAGAAGGAAACCAACATAACAAAATCCACCATCTTCATCAAAAAGGCAAAAAGGGATGCTTAATGTGCCCTGATTCAAGGAGGGTGAGTCCCAGTTGTTTGTGTGAGTTGCTTGCCTGCAACAGCCTTTCCTCAACTTTTGTCCCTTCCAGATGCATTCCCAGCATGAATTCTCCTGTTTAGGAAATTCTGGAATTGATCTTCATACACTGAAGTGTATCCAACCTGGGAAAGGCTGAGCTAAAAGGTTCCCTTTCTCAGCCTTGCTGCCTGGAGGCCCAAGAGAAAGGCTTTTGCATGGTCAACCTGCAGCTTTTTCTGCCAGAGAAGGAGAACATTAAGGAATATTGGCAGAAGTGGCAGGGCCTCTTTTCTCTTTGGGATAATGCACATCAGCTTCCCCAGGGACAAAGATCCCTTGATAGATACAGGAAATTATCTTCACAGCCATCACAATCGAAGAGGGGAGTGGCATGTCTGTTATTTCTTCTTAGCAAGACCGAATATTATTCAATGAGATGGAAAGAGCTCTTGCGTATCTTTGCTTTCCAAGCTTATTCTTGGCAACAAATTCATCTTGGTAATAAACTCCCTTCCCCAATCCAAAACCACAAACCTGGTGAATAGGATAATACATGATTGGAAGGTCAAGCTCCCCCCCCCCCTTTTTAACCTCTCAATGTCCAGCTACACAGAATTCCTGAAAGTGTGGCAATGTATTTTGCTCTTTAGGAACATTCCACTGTGCACAACAAAGCCAGCACTTACCATGATTACAGCCACTACTATGGCAGCAATGCCAATCAAGTACAGCTTTCCAGAGAACAGCTCATCAATTTTAGAGTGACAACTGCTTAGCTGAAGTAAAAGAGTACAGATTTATTTATTACATTTTCAGTATTGCTCTGGACAATTCACAATATAAAACATGCAACAATAAGAAACAAAATCAACATTTTTTCTGAAAAACAAATTATACAGACAGAAACCCACCTGGCAAGGAGACAATACTTATCTTGTCCCCAAGATCTTAGAGAGCAACCAGGTTTACAAAGACATCATGTATATTTTAAGACCTATATAAATATCTAGAATGATTTCCAGAGAGCAGGCTTTACAGTAGAGAAGACACACAACATGGCTCTTGACAGAAGACACTGTTTAATCAAAGGGAATTGGAGTGTGCCAACTCTGCTAGTTTTTGTCTGCTGGGCAGAAACTATGAGACATACAGAGTTTCTCAGATATTTTGGCCCTGGGGTCATCTAGAACTTTACATGTGCATCTTGAATTGAACCTGGAAGCACCTCGGTATAGCTCACAAGGCAATGATAGCACATGGGCACAATGAGGTATGCCCATGGCTGCCTATGCTACTGCATTCTGGATCAGTTGGAGCATGAAGGGAGCCTTCAAGGTCAGTGCCATGTAGTGTTCACTGCAGCAATCAAACTGCAAAGTGACCAGGGCATGAGTGATTGTCTGCTTCTCTTGATCAGGAAGGAGTATGTGGCCCTCAAGTCATGCAAATTCTTCTTGGCCACAGCTGCCACCTATTCTTCAAGCAGGAGATATGAGTGGAAGGTGATCTCCAGGTTGGCCACTAATTTTGATCAGAGATACCTAATCCCAATACTGAAGCTGGAGAATCCACAGATCTGGGGTAATCCTAATATCCACAGCTACTCAGTCTTGGTAGGATTAAACTGGAGCTGGTTTAGTCTCCAGATGCTGGGACAAGAATTTTAACAGCATCACTTGACTAACCTGAAGCCAAGACATAAAAGCTTTTGTTTCATCCTCCTCCTAGTCTTCCTTCTTTGAATTCAGATCTAAATATATCCTTTTTCTATTGCCATGAGCCAAGCTAATTGAAAGGAATACGAAAAGACATTACCAGGCTCCCTTTCCCCCTTCCCTGTCAGCAGACCAATTCAAATCAAATATCTCCTTTGGACAAGAGAACATCTTGGAAGAAAATTAATTTTAAGCACATCATTAATAGAAATGGGGTTTATTTCAAAACTGTTTAATCTAACTTGTGCGTGCATAAACTTAATCTTACAGACAACCACGTACCCAGGCTGTTTCTTTCCCTCTTGGCATTTAAAAGTGTATGAAGCTTACTGTTCTTCCCGCCCACTTTTGCAGCATGATAAACTCACACCACCTAAAGTAGCATGAGACACTCAAAACAATTCTGCATAAAATGAATGTGTTTTGTTCCATATCTGAACCAAATTCATGGCAGGAAAAAAAAAACACATGCATGTCTTGCTCTGAATTGGAACTGCCTTTAAATTTAAATTATTCTGCACATCCCTACTTTGCATCACTACAACTTTAACCTAGAACCTCACAGAACTTTAGACTCACTGAAAATTCTAACTGTGGGAATGGAAGACGTTAAGGCAGGAGTCCTCCCACAACAGCTGCTAGTGCTGTAAAACGAATAAGATAAGCAGAGAAATCACACAGAAGACGGCTTTGGCAATGGCTACAGAAGGCGTCTGTAATTTCTTCTGGATAACACAGCAAAATGCAGCATGTCTATACAATATATGTGGCTTTCTGCATCTGGATGCAGATGCTGTGGCTCATATAATTTGGAAGGGGGAGGATTTAGAAAGCAAGAGTCATCAAATTCCAAGCAGCTCCCCAAATGCTTGCCCCATGGGATGTGTTGGGTGATTGGATCAGACCATTTTCAAACTCAATCTCATTACTGTCAGCTTCTCCCATCATATACATTTGGTCTCATTCAGCTCAAATGCCAGAGAGCTATTTTCCTGATGAGCAGCCAATCAGACGAGAATGCTTAAGCCCCTTTCCATGATTTCTTTCCAGCGTTTTGTTGAATTGGAAAAAAAATAAAATGGTCTAGTGGCGTAAATATGTATATATTGATGATTTCCTTACTTGTAAATTTTCTCCTAGAGTGCATTCACCGGTGACCAAAGATAACACAGAATCTCTGCCACAGCAATTTAGCTAGGAGGGCGGGGATGGGGGAAGAGAGAGAAAAAGAAAAACAAATTAATTGTAAATATTTTCTACAAATATTTTAAACTACATTTTTTTTCAAAGACCCCAATTTTCATCCTATGGTAATAACCTGAACTTTCCTCCTATTACTTATTCATCATCTGCAGTGAATTTGTATCATATCATGCAGGGATACAGGGGAGATTGTGTATCAGAATCGTTATAAAAGAGAGCTATCAACCAGAAAGGAAACCAAATCCCTTGATTTTCAAAACTCTTAAAAGGCCGGAATCTCAAAAACAGGCAATAATAACTGGAAAAATAATTTTTAAGTGAAATTATGTAGAAGCTAAGATCCCAATGAAGAGTTTTACTTCACAAAGAAGAGCAGAATTATTTCCCTTCTCTTCCTGTTTTTTATAAACAGATCACCATGCCATTAGAAGCAGTCTAATAAAATGGAAGGTTTATGATTACAGGTAGTCCTTGACTTATGACCACAACTGAGCCCAAAATTTCTGTTACTAAATGAGAAATCGGTTAAGCCAGCTTTGCCTCATTTTACAATCTTTCTAACCACAGATGTTAAGGGAATCACAGCAAGCTACTAATACAGTTGTTAACTGAATCTGATTTCCTCATTGATTTTGCTTGCCAGAAGGTCACAAAAGGTGATCACGTGACTTCAAGACACAGCCGCCGCCATAAATATGAGCCAGTTCCAGGCACCCAAATTTTGATGATGTGACCACGGGGATGCTGCACTGCTGTTGCAACTTGGAACAGTTAATAAATGAACGGTTGTAAGTCGAGGATTACCTATAACCCAGCTCTGTATGGGTGCATGTAAAATAATGCATACACCAACTAAAAGCCATAGAACCAGTGGTGGGATTCAATTTTTTTTTACCACCGGTTCTGTGGGCGTGTCTTGGTGGGTGTGGCAGGGGAAGGATACTGCAAAATCTCCATGCCCACCCCACTCCAGGGGAAGGATACTGTAAAATCCCCATTCCCTCCCCACTCCACTAACCTGCTTTCCAGCTCCCTTCTCCTGTGCAGGGCAACCAAAGAAGACCAGCCAATCAGCTGGGACTCGATAGGAGGCAGAGAATAGATGGGGGCGGGGCTAGTCAGAGGTGGTATTTGCCAATTCTCCGAACTACTCAAAATTTCTGCTATCGGTTCTCCAGAACTGGTCAGAACCTACTGAATACCACCTCTGCATAGAACCTGCTTGTTTATTCCTTATAGTAAATTCAGGACTTACTGACTTTCAAACTAGTCCAAATTACTCATATTTTTAAGTGAACTTTTTTCTTTTAATCAAAACTATATTTTATATTTACCCCAGTCATTTATTTTAATCCCATTAGCTTTATTCTTAGGTGTATTAGCAGGTGAAGGTTTTTAATATTTACTTTTTTTTTAGTTACAATTACTGTTTTGCTCTTTGTCATTTTCATTTTAATCACTCTTGTTCCATACGATCCATTTCTTCTTTGCAGAAGACTTTTTAAGGGAATGTAAAGAACTAGGGGCCAAGTATGCCAAAGCAATCTGTCACTCGTTTCTTTTACTTCAAAATACTGTTTGCAGTAGAAGCCCATCAGCACATGGAAGCAATGGCCCAAGTCTGTTGCCATCCATTTTTCTTGTGTTCATCACATGGGTTCAGGCAGTTCCTGGGTTAAGAATGTCCAATTGTCATGGATCTGCTACCCGACTCCTCTCCTGGCGCAAGTTCAGCGGAGGAAGAAGAATTTGGGTTGGCAAAGGAAAGCAGTGAAGCCGTACAATGGCCAGGATTGGGGCTTGGAGGGTCTAGCCTGACAGAGCAGTCTCAGCTGGGTCAATCGGATGAACTACAGGCTGAGGGAAAATACTGTAAGTCACAGGACCAATGAGTTGGCCAGGAGGTGGGAGCAGCTGCCGGCTGTTAATGATGAGGAAGAAGTGGAGTCCACACCTCCTCCCGATCCAAGGACGTGTAGGGCAGAGAGGAGACAGGTGCAACACTAGATGGCCAGACTACTCACGAGGAGGCAACCTCACCCCTTGTGAAGGGACCCACTGGCAGCATCACCTAGTTAATCTCTCCCTGAAGACTTGAGCTGGACCAATGTGCCCAAGTTCCTTGCTGTGTGTGTGCGTGTGCACGCGCGCTTGTGTTTGTGTGCCTTGTATCCATTGTGATCACCCAGGATGGGATACAAAAGCAACAAAACCACAAAAACAGGTGAAGTCCCTTTAATTCCTTTAACTTGGCTTCAAAGGTCCAAATATCATTGACTGGAGAAAAATCTCCCCCACAAACAGTTGTGAAAAGGAAGAATTTCCATTCAAACTCAAAATACATATAAATTATAAATAGAAAAAAAACACAGATCACACTGAAGCAATTAAGGAGACCAGGCAGGATAAGGGCTTGAAGACGTCCACAGATATCAAAATACACACACTGGGAAGGATGCCAGAACTCCGATAAGAACGGACAGACTAAAAATATTTTCACGCTTTCCTTCCAGCACTGGCCCATGCGCAGTTTGTCCTTTTAAACAGTCCTCACAGCTGCAGCCCATGAAGGGGATCGAGGCCCTTTCCTCCCCCATAGATCACATCATTCACGTTTCTCCCTTATCTGCTCCTTCCTGTGTGTCCTAGGATAAAGAGGGGATGGACCTGGGTTTTCCTCTAAATGCCCAGCTGGCCTGTGCCCTTCCCCAGTTTTCTCCACAACCTCCAGAGCCACTCCCGCTCCCTGTCGGCTGTTCCTCCTCTCCCTCAGAGTCAGATTCTAACAGGGGTATACACCCATTTACTTCGCAGACTGTTTCCTTAGACTCTGTGTATGTGTTGGACTAAGTTTCCCAATGGACTCTTTCTGTGCCAAGCCTGGACTCCAAAACTAATCATTGTGGATACTTCCTGAAAACTTATTTGGAGGCATTTGAATAAACATTTTTGGAACTCTTGCTGTGTGTGGTGGGGGGTGAAGCAGGGTAGCACACAACCTAAGGACAACTCCCAGATAAAAACAGATTGCCTATTACAAAAAGTGGTAGATGGTACTGAGCTGATTAACTACTAAAGCTGTGCAATGCTTCCAGGAACCATTGAAGCCATACGTTTTCAATATACAGCCTGTTTTCAGTGCTTCCTGAAAGCATTGTGTGGCTTCAGTGGGTTGCTGGTTTGAGGAATGCCATTTGCCATTTTTAGAAGTAGGCTAAGCACAAGTTCTGTAGGAGAAGAGATGGCAGAACCTGGGGGTGGAGTGAAAAGGGGAATCAGCCTAGAATCCCTATATGCTCACACACACCCCCCCCCCCCCAGTGCTGTTGATTCTTATCTAACTCTAAGCAGGTATAGTTGAGAAGATTCCTACATATAGGCTTTTACCGACAAAATTTGTTTAATTGATCCTTCATGTGTGGTGTTTTATGTTTGACAAATTCTGATTTAAATGCAAATTTGAGTTAAATACAAAGTTAGGAACTGGGCTTGTTCTTTAACCAAGAACTGCCTGTATACATTTGGAAGGCTTGTGTAAATGGCATGGCAGAAAGGAAACATAATATATTTTGAAAATGCAGCTTGTCCTTAAATGAAACATGTAATAGGAAAATAGATACAGGGGTAGCTATGCTGAATTAATCGTAGAAATTGTGTAAAATATTTTGTAAATGTATGTATAAAATATGCATCTATGTATGTTTGCATGTATGTACAAAATCTAGTAATAAAAAAAAATCTAGTAATAACTATTCTTGTCCAGTTGTTTTAAAAATGAACTTTCCATGGCAATGACCTAAAAAAAGATTCCCCAAACCACATTGTTGAATATTTTCTTCTTTGGATTCATTGTACAACTTATAAATTATACTGTCTTTCTTGCATTTTGGTTCCTTCTGGACAAGTGACTGCAAGCCTTGTCCGTGTAAGCTATAAATCAAGTTAAATTGCTTCATCACCCTGTCATTAGCAAGGAAGGCACTTTCTATGTATGTGTCCTGCAATTTTTTTATTACAACTAATGGCATGAAAAACAGTTGTGTGTGAGGCCATTTTAAGTTCATCACACATTTACTGTAAATTACAGTAATTATAATTTAGATTGTACTTTAATTTATAGCTGAATGCCATTTTGTAATTCTATTTTTTAAATAGCTATTTTAATAAGTACTAAAGTATTTTTTATTTTTTAAAGAAAGGACAGGATATCATATCACAGTTGTATGTCATTCCAGGTTGTAAAATAAATGTGAGATGTAAATTAATCAAATAATACTTTTACATACTATTGTGCTACTTTAATGGCTACCTACCATTTTTGAGTTACATATTACTAAATCAAACATATAAATATACGTTTAAATATATATATATAAATGTATTTGTATAGTACACAAATACATGACTACTTTGGATGTTTTTATTAAAATTAATTTTAATATATTTTAATATATTTTTGAACTGTAAGCCACTCAAGAGTTATTGAGCTGAAGTTTAGATTGTAAGTACAGTCACAGTTACACTTAGCAGCCATTTTGCTTAATGATCCAGTTGCTGGTCTCAATTGTGATTACTGAACAAGGACTACCTCTAATCGACAGTTACTTCAAGCAGGTATTTAACCAACTAACTGAGAAAGCAAAATATTGTGAAGATTAAATTTGATCCCCAACAAAAGTGTACTATATTACTTACTGTTTCTTGGAAGGTTTTCACAACAGCAGTTGCCTTTTTTGCTTTGTTCTCATTATTGTCTTTTGATTGAGTCAATGCTTGATCATAAAACTGTTTGAGATCTTTGGCAATCTGCAAAAGAGAATAGGGGACAATATACTCTCTTATGGGCTTTTACAGGTACTCTTTCCCCATTGGTCTATTCAGCTGCTTGATCTTGCGGATTCCAATAATCTTAACAACTGGATAACCAAACAACAAAGACACCTGAATTAAATTTTCAGATCCACAATCACCACTTAGTTGAAGCTAGTTGACAATACGGAACTATGTATCCACGAAATAGTACACCGGACTTATTGTGAAGGGTCCCCCCCACCCCCATTCTGGCTTGTTATTCTAAAATTAGAGAAGGGGTATAACTCTGTCACTGGGGAATATCAGAACTTTTTTAAATACTCTGCTTCCAGTGGGAGTGGGGGAAAAATACCTACTGTTAAACGTCCTAACTGTGGCGTAAAACAGCCTACTAAGCATTCAAGGATTGTGGAAACTCTAAACAGGAAGTGTTTAGTAGTGATGAGAAAATTACACAACATGAATCATGGTATAAACTATACTGATGAGCAGGGACTCTATGCACAATAAAATAACTTAGGACAACATTCAGTTGTACTGTAGAAGTAATATGTAAACCTTAACATAGGAAACATTACACAGTGCATATGTCTTATGTGCTGCTTCCTGGGGTCTGGTAATGTCACCAAGAGGTTTTTTTTTTTTTAACTAATACAGTGTCATGGGTAGCTACTTTTTGAGAATCAGCGAGCAAGATAAAAAAAAAATCAAATGAAGCTTGATTTGGACAAAATGTGCTTAAGGAAGGTGGCTTGGTGACTAGCCCGGGCAGAGCGTGAATTGTCTTGTATCTCCTTTGAAAGAAAAGATGTAGTGTTTTTGACGTATCTTAGGTTCCAACGGCTGTTGTAATTGTATACATCAGCTTCCAAAAATGTTTGGGAAAGGAAACAGGTGCAGAAAAGGATACAGTATTGTTCCTATTGTGTGTATGCTGAAGACCCTGACCTGACCATGAGGATGAGTCTGGAAATCCCTGAAGAGTTTTAATTGCTACTGTATTCTGTAGCAGGGGTCTCCAACTTGTCAACTTTAAGACTTGTGGACTTCAACTCTCAGAATTTATTTATTTATATATATATTTATTTATTTGATTTGTCAATCGCTTACAAGATAATAGGTATAAGTATAAACATGAATACAGAAAATAGGTACGATTAAATGGGGACATTAGGACAGGGACGGGTGGCACGGTGGTGTACTTATGCACGCCCCTTACAGACCTCTTAGGAATGGGGTGAGCTAGTTTGGAGGTTAAAGGAGTGGGGGTTTGAGGATGTAACTACAGAGTCAGGTAGTACATTCCAGGCATTGACCACTTTGTTGCTGAAGTCATACTTTCTGCAATCAACTTTGGAGCGGTTTACATTGAGTTTGCATCTGTTGTGTGCTCTTGTATTGTTGTGGTTGAAGCTGAAGTAGTCATTGACTGGTAGGACACTGTAGCAGATAATTTTGTGCTGGCTGAGGAATTCTGGGAGTTGAAGTCCACAAGTCTTAAAGTTGACAAGGTTGGAGACCCTTGTTCTGTAGCATTTATTTGTATTAAAAACAGTCATGTTGATTGTAATATACTAGTACTCCTTTCTCTGCCTATTACCACTTCTAGACAACCTCTGGAGTGTCATTTTTCATCTTTAAACTATGAAAATGTTTTGACTAGAGAACAGTATGAAGTGCCTTTGCAAGGAATGATTCTTTCATTAAAAGAGAAGAATGACCAGAACTAAGAGTAACAGTGTTTTTTTAAAAGAGATTCTTCACGTTTTCACCTCAAACACAACATGTAGCCTTTGTTAGTCCTTTTGGACAGATCTTGAAAGCTTTTCAGGATATGATTATAGAATACAAATTATTCCAGAAGAACTACTTTAAACATCTTCTCTTGTTTTATCTTAATTCTGCTATGAATTCAGTTTGAAACAAAAAAGACACTATCAATATTTGTTTTCAGGCTTCCACAACTTGGCACCTTAATGTCTGTAAAGACTTTTATAGTCTAATACACTGGTGTCAAACTCGTTGTGTCACATTGCCATCAGATGATGTTTTGTGACATTTTTCCCATTCGTGGAGCTGGGATGGGCAAGGCCTATGCATGATTCATCCAGCCCGTGGGCCACTAGTTTGACATCCCTGGTCTGATACATCCAGACAGCATCAATAAAGAAATAATACACTATGTTTCGTAAAATTGTTTAAAAGTAGTTCAAAACTGTATAAGAAAACAGGGTAAATAAACAAAACATCAAAGAAAAATAAAAGGCACTATCTGGAAGAAGATACAAACAGAAAAATCCTGCTCTCTCTTTGCATCTGTGAGATTGCTTTGATCTCTTAATTTTATATATCCAAGCTGAAATATGCAAGCAAAATATTGAATTCCCCCTTGTGAGTTTAAAAAAGAGTAGTAAATCAATCATCCTGAATGTTGCAATCCACAATTCCAAAGCTATCATTTTATATAATAATTCATAATAATACTGCAGAGTGAATAAGATAGTGTACTGAAGTGGTGGCATAGTGGTTAAAGTGTAGTATTTCAGGCTAACTCTGCCCACAACTTGGAGTTTGATCCTGACCAGCTCAAAGTTGACTCAGCCTTTCATCCTTATGAAGTTGGTAAAATGAGAATCCAGATTGTTGGGAGCAATATGCAAATAATGCTTACACTGTAAACTGCCCAGAGAGTGCATGTAAAACACTATGGGATGGTATATAAGCCTAAAATGCTATTTCTATTTTTAAAGAAATTCATCCCATTCTCTTGCTTTGGACAAAATGTCAACAATGAGCAATTATACCGACAATTAGACATCAGAGCCAGCTGTTCACTAACATGCTACATACAGTAAAGTTGTTTTTCCCATTCTAAATTCCCCCTTGAAATGTGAGCAGCTAAGAAGTTGGATGTCTGATTTAATTTAAAAACAGAAAATTTTTGGAATAATTTGCCTTGGGGAAAGAGTTTTAAATGTAACATAATGCCCATGTCCTACTTGGAACGGACTATTGGAAAAAGGTACAATACAATTTTCACCATTTGTACACTTAGGGTTTTATAAGATAGCAGTAGTAATTAAAACGAAGTGGCTATTTGATACTGAAAAATGGATATAGGTCAGTTAAATTATTCTTGTGCACTTCCTTTGTGCATAATCAAAACTAAAACTACATCTCTGAAAGCAGGATAAATGGAATATAGAATAATATATCAGATTCATATTATTGTCTCTTCACTGGTGTAATCATTTTGGAGCAATGAGTGAGGTTGGGTAGAAAGAAACCAGACAAGGGAGGAGAGATTCAGCCAGAGAGCAACAAGAAAGAAAAAGAAAACTTTTATTTGCCTTTAGGAAAGGAAATAATAGTACTACTAACAAGGTTAGTAAGATTTTATGATAATCCAAACATACACTCCAAAAAAGGATACATTAATTCACTGATTCAATGAATGAATAATATTGCTACCAATTTCTGCAAATAAGTAATAATATAGTTACTGGGAGAATATAATTGGGTTGATGGTCAAATTGGAGAATATGCTTAGAAAAGTGGGAATCCCAAAACAATTTGTGGGAAACCTATAGAGGTGGAAAGTCATAGAACATGGCAAAATAGACTTGCAAAGGATTATGACAAAGCCAAATATTGTAACCTAATTTATTCAATTTATATGCTGAATATAAGGGAAGCTTCATTGTAAGAAAATAAGGATGGTTTTAAAATTGGAGGAAGAAGCATTAGTAATAGTCTGCACTAAGCTGATGGCACTACTCTGATAGCTCTGAAAGGCAAAAGACCTGTGTACTGTAGTAACATAAGCCAAGTGAAAAAAATAGGATTCAGATTAGACATAAATAAAAATTAATGAAAACAGCTATAACAATGAGCCTTAGAATTGACTTCAAAGATATTGAAGCTGCAGAGAGCGCTTGTCTTTTAGTATAACTATTAAAAATAACAAAACATGCAGTCAAGAAGTATGTCATATAGTAAAGCAGCCATAAAGGCCTTGGAAAAGATATTCATATACTATATGTCTGTACCTAAAAAGATCAGAATAGTGCAGGCAATGATATTCCCTATGACACCTTATGGAAGTGAAAGTTGCTCTCTGAAAAAGCTGGATGTGGAAAAAACAAAACAAAACACCATTTGATACTTCTGAATTTAGGTGTTGGAGCTGAGAATAACATGGATAGCCAAGAAAAGAAACAAAGGGAACATTGAACAAATCAACTCAGCAGTACATGAATCCTTCCTCAAGATCTAGTCTTGTTATACTGGCATTCACTTTACAGTACATATATTTTGAGAGAGAGAATAAAAGGAAATACGACAATTCAAAAAAGTGCATGTGTTTTTTCGTATCTCAGTAGTGCCTTGTTACAGATGTTTTGATGAATTACAAGAACATGCAAAATCCATGTGCCTTAGAAACTAGAACGGCCATGGAAAAAACTGCAAATTCAGTTCTCTAAAGACCAATTCTTAAGTAGGAAAAACAGCATAATTTACATTCAAGAGAGAACAAATAGATGATCTGAGGGACCCTAAAGTTTGCAGAAACACATCCTTAGGAGGTTCGACGGGACTGAAGAATAATTGGTATGTGACTGCTATAAAAAATTCAGGAAGGAAGCCAGATAGAAGAAGAATGATTGACAGGTTAATATAGGGAATAGCAGCCTTCTACTTCAGGGATCCCCAACCCCGGCTGTGGCCCACCACTGGGCCTTGAGCCTTTCGGAACTGGCTATGAAAGTGGTGAGTGTGCGTGCATCCTCAGTCATGTGACCTGTGGGTGAACACACTCCATTTGTGCAGCAGCAGACACCCATGCCTTCCGCTTGCGCAAATGGAGCTGTGTGTGCATGGACGTGCCAACCACGCGTGTGGAACCATCCCTCTCCTCCCCTGCCTGTCTGCAAAACTGAAAAGGTTGGGAATATCTGTACTACACAGCAACCTTACATTCTAAGACCCACCGCTTCAACAGTCTTTTTTCTCACCCTATCCTGAAATCAGGATTGTTAAACTCTTAGGGACAAGGATTTGTCTCCTGCCTATCATGACACTTGTAAAAGCACCATCTATGTATGCATCATAGCAGCTCCAGGTGACAGGTAGATAGTTGCAGTATATATTTTTTTTTATTAAGCTTCCAGAATTGGAGCCTGCTTTCCAAAACAAATGGAAAGGAAGCAAGGACAGCAGACAAATAGTTTGTTATGGCACCAGCAGGTGGGGCATCGTGCTGCTCTCCAGGGACTGAACATCCTTAATGTATTAAAACTGACACCATTTCATAGCTGCTGAAGTGACATGACCCCAGGATTGGTTTCAGAGGAAACAAATCCAAGACTCAATTCCTAGTAAATCAGGAAGCTCACTGGCAAGCTTTCATTACCACCAGCTTTCTTTGAGAAGTTAGGATTTAGAATTGTTGCTTATCCCATCTTTCTCACCTTTCGATGTAATATATCAAATACCATTATTTTCTTGTACTCCATTAATTGCAAATTACGGCAATATACGCTTTCTGCTGCAGCAGGTTGGCTAGCACAGAGCAGGGAGGTATTGAGAAGAATATCTTATGAAACTGTTCATGCTACTCATCAGAAGCAAAAAGCAAGTAAAGACGCAGCAGGACAACCCTATCTTCTATAAATATTTAGCCTGGCAGTCAATCAAACCAACCTACTGGGAGGTTGGGAGACTGGGAAAACGAAAACAAAGTGGCTTTGAACATCTGGGATACCTATGCCACAACAAACATTAAACTTCTAACCCTCAAGTAGTTGTAAAGCTCTCAGATGCATCATAAACATAAAACAATAAAATAGACAGTCATAATGTTTACCTGATCCTTATTAACAAATCCCCAGATGCCAGCAGCCACTTCACAAGCAAATAAGATGACGAGGCATGTAAAAAACTGAAATTTTTAAAAAAAGATAAATATCAGGTTAAGGAAATCTATAGGCATTTCCATTGAAGACAAAGTCTTTGGTTCATCCATATATTTTGCAGTGATTGACTCAGCTGTTGAGCACCAAATGATTAAATACTGTTTTTACTTGTGTTCTTAAAGCCGTTATTGGTTTTAGCCCTCAGTTAATAAGGCAAACATTTTGTTTAACCTTCCATTCAAGACCGCTACCAGTTTGCTTCATATTCACACTGTATATAGGAGGATTGGAATAAAAAGAAACAGAGAAAATACCTCCCAGATGAATTACAGTCTCAAAAGCCAGTTATTCTATCTATCATGCTGATGTAGTGGAAGGGGCTTGCTCAAAGGAAATCTGTAGAGATGCAGATCTTGATTATTCATTCTCTTCCTCTGAAGATGCTAAAGGTAATCTAATAGCATGTGTTCTGGAAAAATAAGTCTCCAAAATTGTAAGACTCAGTTATAACACACTTCTAATGTCAATGGAGGTTGTGCAGAGTGGTACAGTTCTTCCCTGAGGACCTATAGTAGAAAAGCTTTCTACGATGTAGTGTCCAAATTTATTTCAGAAATGTATATCCCAAATTTTCATTCCAGAAAGGAGCTATGCCCAGTGTATGTAAAAGAAAAAAAATCAGTACAATAAACAGAAGTGAGTAGTCTAGTGCCCAGATGTTTTGGGTTGTAATTCCCATAATGTCTTGTAATGTTTAGACTAATATTGAAATCTAAAACATCTGAATCAACCAGCTTAGAAACATTTACATATATAAAGACAACATATTGAATTGTATGTTCTATTATGTTTTTAACTTGGTGCTGAAAATAATTCAGTATTGTCCTCAAGTGGGACAGCACTCCAAATCCAGGACACCTTTTCAGGGAAAGCTGTTGGTGTTGGAGTTAGAAAGGGCCCTTTTTATATGTGACTGTGAAAGTAACAAATAAATGCAGAAGCAACCAAGAGGAAGCCATCTTGGCCTAAAGGTTACAACAAAACAGTTGTCACTATCTCAAATGATTGAGTTAGTGGGAGGGAAAGTGAACGGCTTTTCTTAAATGCAGAAAACACTTAAATCCAGGCTTGTATTATATAGGAATGTTTCATGTCTTCTCCAAACAACTCTATGTGTCCTCATAGCGCTCTCTCTCTCCCTCTCCCTCCCTCTCCCTCCTCCCCCCATGTCTGGACTAGATTCAGTTAGGAAAATAATACAGTAAATCATAATTATTGATACATACCCTAGGAAGTTCTATGGAACAATAAGAGTGCCTTGTGATCATTAACTCTTTCTACTGTTCGCCATTGTAATAGTAATCATTAAATTCAATAAAAGTCTCACAGGAAATGCTGGAAAATGTAAACAAGAGTATAAAAGATCTCTTACTGTTCCCAGAAGGCACTGTGATTCCTGGATAGCTCCATAACATCCTAGGAAACCTACAAACATCATCACTGCTCCAACTGCAATCAAAATGTAGATTCCTGCAGGGGAAGACAAAAGAAAGGCAAGTTCATTAACTCAGGAGGATCATATCTTGTTATGTAATTAACAGGCATGGATATTCTGTGAACAGAGGCAGGAGGACAACAATCCACCTCATAAATATGAATCAGATTGGATGAAACAAAAGCTACGCTTTGAACGACTTTCTGTTTTTAAAAGTAGTGAATCAGATGCTTCAGAATACCTCACAAAGACATGAATGAAAGGATTTTTTATCAGCACTTCTTGTTCAAATCAAGGGAGCTTCTGTAGATGGAAGCCTTCTAATGATCACTTCCAATGCTGCAGTTGGTCAAATTCCTTTTTAACGGCATAAAACTAATAGCAATGAAAGCTATAGGTCAGTTAAGCATTGAGGAACGAACCTTACTCCCCAGTTCCCATAGCTCCTAAAATAAATAAACACACACACATATATAAATAAAAGCTAGGCAGTAGGTCTCTCCCTCTCTGTCTCTCTCCTCTTTCTCTTTCTCTCTCTCTCATTATTAAGGGAATCAAGCCTGAAATAATGACCTTTTGCCATGTTTGGTAAGTGAATCACTACTGTTGTGGTTGTTAAGAAAATCTGATTTCCCCATTGACTGTGGGAAGCTGGCTAGGAGAATTGTAAATGGTGATCACATGACGACAGGGCACTGCAATCATTGTAAATACATGCCAGTTGCCAAGCACCCATGTTTTTATCACACGACCATGGGGATGCTGCGATAATTGTGCAAGGACCAGTCATAATTCACTTTTTTCACTGCTATTGAAACTTTGAATGGTCACGAAACAAATGGTTGTTATGACAATGTTTCTTTTGGGGCTGTGTCAAAAGACTACCAACCAATAATTAAATTAAAACGCATGACTGTGGGAAGAGTGATGGCGGTGGTGTCTATAGTTTGACAGTACTGGACATACAGTACTGTTGGAATATGAAGGGAAAAAAATAACAGCTTGAAAAATGCTGACAGCTCTGCACTTAGATTTATCTTGTTTTCCACAAAACACCAAGAGATATACAGAACTGGCTTTTTAAAATGGAGACACTACAACATACTTCTCAAAACTGGTAAAAATGTAGAAGCAGAATTGAAATTCAGTGATGCAAATGCACAGCTTTGTAGCAAACTACAGCCTAAATCTTATGCAGATGTCCTTCCATTGGAAAGTTATTAAAATAACATTTCTCAAGCAGATCATAACTACAGAGGAGACCTGAAGGCTTGTTATGTACAAAGAACAGAGATAATGAAATATTGGCATTCCTGACCAAAAATCTATCAAGATTTTTGGCCACTAAAAACATTTTAAATTTAAGTTCGGATCCCACAGACACCCTGTGGAGAATTAGGTGAATCATGGCGCCTTGTGACTCACAAAAGCTTTTGTTGATTATATGGTGATGCACATAAAGTAAAAAGATTGGGAGTTGCTGCCATGAGTACGATGCATTCAGAAGACTGGCTGGAGGCCAGGAGAGCAGCAAGAAACCATTTGCAAAGACTTCATTTTAGTGCACTGGGCTGGGAGAGATGAAGGGATTCAAAAGAAGAGAAGTTCTTTGAACTGAAGGAACAGAGTCCTCTTTCAGCCAATCTCTGGTAACAGACACATCCTGTCCTGCGTCAAGCTATGGTGAAACCAAGGAGGACCCTGACTACAGGTAGGTAGTCCTCCACTTATGACCACAATTGAGCTCAAAATGTTTGTAAGCGAAACTGTTGTTAAGTGAATTTTGCCACAGTTGTTATAGTGAATCACTGTAGCTGGTAAATTGGTAACATGGTTGTTAAGTGAATCTGGCTTCCCCATGACTTTTGCTTATCAGAAGGCCACAAAGGTGAACAGTTGACCCTGGGACCCTGCAACCAGCATAAATAAGAGTCAGTTGCCAAGCATATGAATTTTGGTCACGTGACTGTGGAGATGCTGCAACGGTCACAAGTGTGAAAAATGGTCATAAAACACTTTTTTTCAGTGCTGTTGTAACTTCAAATGGTCACGAAATGAACTGTTGTAAGTTGAGAACGACCTGTATTTTACATTTCGGGCTCATTTAGTTCCACTTGTTTGAAAGCTAACAATACTTTCAAGGAATACAACTGGTCTGTTCGTTTATTTGGTTCTATTAGTATCGTTCTTAAAAAAGCCAGTTTGCTGTAGTTATTAAGTGAATTCTAATCCGACCTTAGGCACAAAGACAGCTGGGTGACTTTAGGCCAGTCATTCCCTCTCAGCCCTAGGAAGAAGGAAATGGCAACCAACTTATGAAACCTTGCCAAAGAAACTACAAGGACTTGACAGGCAGTTGTCAAGAGTCAACACTTACTTGAAGGTGCGCCTGGCAAGTCCCTGTAGTTTCTTTGGCAAGGTTTCATAAGTTGTTTGCCATTTCCTTCTTCCTAGGGCTATAGCCCTTTTTATATATGACTGTGAAAAAAGGGGCACCACGCTGCATTTATATAAAGGTACCACTTTGTTGGGAAGATAACAGCTCTTCGTGCACCTCTGGCATGTAACTATGCTGACCACATGACCATGGAAATTGTCGTCGGAAAATGCTGGCTCGCTTGGCCAAGAAATGGAGATAAGCATCATGCCCTGGAGCTGACACAACTGATAGGGAAACCTTTATCTTTTACTTTCTCTAAGCAAACCTGAAAATTGTTTGTTGAATGCATCTCAATCTCTCATTCACAACAGTGTATTAATTATAAGCACATTTCCAGTTGTTTTTATGCAACATCCCATATATTTCTTTTTTAGTTTGGTAAAACTGGAATGGTAGAAATACAAAATATTGTGTACTCATGTAAGCATAACTGTTTTTAATGTGTGATTTTTTTTAACACTAGAATTCCAAAACTGTAAGACAACTGTGCACATTACCAGTAATAAAATCACAAATACCATAAAAGGAAAACAATATCACATGGCCTGAACTTCCCTTTTGCAATCCAACTTAAAACTCATTGAATTCACAATAGCATTCTACAGGATAAAATACCAATTTATTGCTGGCTATTCACAAGTTAAGCAGTAGAAGAGCGATGCAATAGCTCAGCAGTTCAGATGCTGGGCTTGTCGGCTAGGAAAGCTAACAGCCCAGGTTCAAGACCCAAGTGTCATATGATGAGCTGAGCTCCCATACTCACCCTAGCTCCTGCCAACCTAGCAGTTCAAAAGCATGCAACTGCAAATAGATAAATAGGTGCCACTTTGGTGGGAAAGTAACAGTGTTCTGTGATATTATGCTGGCCACATGACCGTAGAAATGTCTTCAATCAGCACTGGCTCAATGGTTCTTGAAACAGAGATGCCCACTGCCCCCTAAAGTCGGCAATGACTAGCTGAGTAAAACCCATAGGGACTCCTTTACCTTTACTCACAAGTAAAGAAAAATCAGTGAGTTGCAGAGGCTGCAACATTTCATTTGTTTTAAAAAATCTCATGCATTACATTTGATTTCATCTTCATCGAACACCTTTTTCTTATTTTGGGTGGGATGTGATAGGATTTACATTCCCTGAAATCAGAGGAGCTCCAGGATGAATTAAAGTTTTCTCACCGGAAGGCATCAGCACAACAATTCTGCCAAATTTTCAACCAGCTTGCAAAAAGCAAAAAGGGGGAGAAGTGGATAGGATGCAACATAATGGGAAGAGAGAAAGAGAGATTTGATCACTTAATGGCAGCCAGGAAGTAATAAAATAATTGAGAAGCTATTGGGAGTAGAGCCAGAATTTTTCTGAAATACAGACAAATAGCCTTTATTGAGTTTGTCCCTAATAGCAGAGCTAAGCAGACAACTGAAGACTAATAAAATGAGACTATTTTGTGCAATTTAATTTAAAACACAAACAATAGCAAAATACCCAAACATGCAGTGACCTTCTACATCAGACAACATTATTTGAGCAAATCAAAAGAGAGTGTCATAGATTTTTAGTAGTGTTATATTTCCTTAGGTTACAAAAATATGTTCAAGCTTCTCTTGGCATTCAATCAAATATCTCCCTCTCTCTATCATAAAGCAAATTTAAATATCCACCCAACTCACACATAGTTGACTCAGGATGGTTCACAAAATTTTTAAAAGCCATCATATAATAAAAAACCATAATGACCCCTCCTGTGGCAGCAACTACACAGTCATCTCTGTAGAAGAAACCAGAAAGTCCTTTCTGAGGCACCAATTCCCTGAAACTTGTATTGCATAATTATTTAACACTGTCATCTTATTAGTGAATGTGAAGCATCTGAATTAGCTCAAATTCTCTTCTCAAAACCTGGACTAAAATGCCACATAGTTATGAATCAAATGTTCTAGACAGAGAATTATTTGGAAATCATTAAGCTGGAAAATGCTGAAACATTCCGAACTGCATCCAAAACAATAAAATGGAAAAACAAAACAAAACAGAAACTGGTAGGTAGGCAACAGATGCCTCATTAGAAATGTGTGAAAGGCATAGCCTTTCTCTGACTGCCCTTTCTTCTCCTTAATCTTGTAAAAAAAAAAAAAAGGAAGTGCTACCATAAGGGGAAGTTTGGGAGAATATTTTTCTTATTCTCATGCAACATTCTTAAGGCTTTTGTTTCAGAAAGAGAGGAAAATGTAAGGTTGCAAGAAAGCAAGTGTAATTTGCAGCTGATTTCTTGTTAAAATTGTGGAGCCTATGTGGCAAATTCAGGATATGATTCTGACCTCCAACCATCACTAAATGGTTTATTCGTATTTAGAAACCATATAAGGTAGCTGCCATTAAACCTCTGTAAGATGGATACATGGATGGATGGATGGATAGATTGATTTTTAAATTTATCCCCCCCCCCCCCCCATTTCAAAGCAACTCTGGGCAGCTTATAATGTTAACAGAAAGACATTTAAAACATCATATATAAATACGTAGCTGTAAGCCTTGTGTTCAAGTACTAAAAAAAGACTTCTAAGTGTGAAAGGGAATTTTTCTGGTATCTAAAAGAA